GGGCACAAAATAATAGAATATGAAAAGGAAGAATGACATGGTTAGGATTACAGCTTTCTCCATTTGGATATGATCAGCAATTGCTAAAGCCAATAATATAATAAACACGGACTCGTGATTTGAGTTTTTACATTGCATAAATCAGTAAAGACCAACAATAATTGAATAGCAATTAATGGGACCATCTTCCCTGGCACTAAAGATATCTTTTTTATGTCTTTTTCAAATTTATAGTCTTACTTTTGATATTTCCAAAATACATTAATTCTAATCCTACCAAGATTATTGTTTGCGAAAACTTATTTTTTCGGTTAATAGATTTTGAAATGGTGATTTTTTTTTTTAAGAATGTGTAGTTAAAATTTTTTGATTTGCATGTAAAATTATTTTGAAAATGAGTTCGAAGAAAAATGAGTTTATAAAACAAAGGGTATATTTTCAAATTTTTCGAGTAACTGTAAAAAAATATCAGCAATAATATCAAATGGATCACCAACCGAATAATTTCCACACATCAAAATCCATTTACTCGTCAACTTCTACATATAAGTTGAGGAATAATTTGCACAAACTAATATAAAAGCGAATTCCAATGATAAAACAATATACTGTAATGACACGCTAAAAATGAAAAAAAAAAATTAAAAGAATTGACAAAAATGAAAGCAAACAATTAAAATTTACCACCGTTAAGTTCTATCACTTTAAATTATGGGAGGGAGGAATTGAGATTTGTTGATGTCTGGTCCTATTCACATTCGGAGGTCTACATAAATTTGTGACGGAATTTTGATTCCTCCTCGAGAATGGGACAAAGTAACAAAAATACTCGATGGGACGGGGGTGGGAATGGCCGACCCGTCCCATACCCGCCTCGTTGTCATCCCTACCTACAAAACTTGATTCTAATCCTACAAAGATTTAATTAGTTATATTTGACATTAATTATATCGTTTCATTTATTGAGAGAGGGCAAAGTAGTAATTAGCTTCTTTTTACGTTTCCAGGGTTGTTTTGTTTACAGGATAATTATATTACCACCGTTCATT